CTGCCCTGGATCGCCGTGCCCTCCTGCGGCTCCGGGGGGCGGGAAGGTGGGAGGGGTGATGAGGGGTGGGGGTAGGGAACGTGAAGTCTCGGATTCCGGGCGGGATCTGGGGTCTGGCAGCCCGCGGGGCTTGTAGACACTTCCAGAGAAGGCGTGGAGTTGGGCCTCCGCGGAGTGGGGTTGAGGGGACCGAGCTGGGTGGGTGGTGACGCTCGGAGGCTCCAGATTGCCCAGGGGCGGAGTTTGACGTTTGCTGTGGGGGAAGCCTGGGAAGCAGTCCTGTGCCGCGGGGGGGGTTTAGGTGAACCGTAATGCGGGGGGCGGGGGGTGGGGGCACAGAGGCTCTACCCCCACCTCGGAGAAACTTTAGCAACGGAGTAGATGAGCATGGGGTGAAGTCGGTGAAGGAGTAGACACACTGGGGTGAAGTGGGCAGGAGAATAGATACGCTTGGGCGTGAAGTTTGGCTGGGGTGAAGTTTAGGGGAGGCGTTGCTTAGGCCCTTACCTTGGGATAGGGTTTGGGTGAGTTGGGAGCTGGTTGAAGACCTCGAGCTCAGATGACAGAAAGTTAGGACTTGGGATTCGGCGATGGGAAGGGGCACCCGGAGGCAAGTTTGGGGCGACTGGGAGGCAAAGCAGCCCGTACCCTGGGGTGGGTGAGGGAACCCAGGCTGAGGACGGTGGGAGCGTCGCGGTGGGGTGGGGGCAGGACCCTATGGAGGTTCCAGGGCTCCTGGTCAGAGGGCCCGCGCCTCACGGGCTCTTTGTGCCTCTCCAGCTCGGTAGCGCGGCGGGCAAGGCAGGCGCCATGACCCTGATTGAAGGGGTGGGTGATGAGGTGACCGTCCTTTTCTCGGTGCTTGCCTGCCTTCTGGTGCTGGCCCTCGCCTGGGTCTCAACGCACACCGCTGAGGGCGGGGACCCACTGCCCCAGCCGTCAGGGACCCCAACGCCATCCCAGCCCAGCGCAGCCATGGCAGCTACCGACACCATGAGAGCGGAGGTCCCAGGGGCAGAGACCCCCAGCCTGAGACACAGAGGTCAAGCTGCACAGCCAGAGCCCAGCACGGGGGTCACAGCAACACCACCAGCCCCGGACTCCCCGCAGGAGCCCCTCGTGCTACGGCTGAAATTCCTCAATGATTCAGAGCAGGTGGCCAGGGCCTGGCCCCACGACACCATTGGCTCCTTGAAAAGGTACGTAGGTCAAGAGGCAGGAGCAATGCTGAAGACAGGGGTGGGGGGAGTGGTCACAGAAGGCCCCCGGAGAGACCTAAGACCCAGCCCTCCTTTATACTGGAGGCGCTGAGCGCCCCAGATCACAACTGCACTTGTTCCCTTGGCAGACTGCCCCTCCCAGGCCAGGGCCGGTGTGTTGTGGAGGGCAGGGGGAGGGTGGGAGTGTTGTTCCGGGGCCAGGGACTAGGATTGCCTGAGGCCTGCTCTCTTACCCAGGTCCCTCTCTCCTCAGGACCCAGTTTCCTGGCCGGGAACAGCAGGTGCGACTCATCTACCAAGGGCAGCTGCTAGGCGACGACACCCAGACCCTGGGCAGCCTTCACCTCCCTCCCAACTGCGTTCTCCACTGCCACGTGTCCACGAGGGTCGGCCCCCCAAATCCCCCCTGCCCGCCGGGGTCCGAGCCCGGCCCCTCCGGGCTGGAAATCGGCAGCCTGCTGCTGCCCCTGCTGCTCCTGCTGCTCCTGCTGCTCTGGTACTGCCAGATCCAGTACCGGCCCTTCTTTCCCCTGACCGCCACTCTGGGCCTGGCCGGCTTCACCCTGCTCCTCAGTCTCCTGGCCTTCGCCATGTACCGCCCGTAGTGCCTCCGCGGGCGTTTGGCAGCGTCGCCGGCCCCTCTGGACCTTGCTCCCCGCGCCGCAGCGGGA